CTTTCCCTATTCCAGCCAGTTCGCAGAGAAACTGCTTGAATTGCAGGGGGATCCTTCAGGTATACCATCCCCCAGCTTCGAGCTGTCCTCCGTTATCCCGGCACCTAACCTAACCGCGAGCACCTACCTTAACCGCGAGCCCGGTGAGAGGAGGCAAGCTTTATTACCGCACTGAAGGGAAACTAAGACAACACAGCCATGGAGGTGCTGCGGGATTTGGCCAAGGTCACGCAATAAGCCTGCAGCTCTACGAAACAGCCCGACACTTTTGGTGCCTGGCCACGTCTCCTACGATTTCACGCCAGGGCCAAAATTCAGCCTAGCCGGTGGTAGTTACGTGCCAGGCCATTAGTGGCGCGTATCCGCAAGGAGCAGCGAACATCCAGCCATAACAACGGCAGCAACAACAACAACAAAAACGCAGAGAGAGCGGGAATGGATGAGATCAAAGTGTCCTGGAAAGGACCTGGAAAAATACTTTAGGTCCCTGGCTAACGCTCCCGGGAAACGCACACACAGGCAGGCCTGTCGCAGCCCCACCGAGTCCTCCCGGGGTGGCTCTCCACCCTGGCAGAGAGAGAGACAAGAACGACTACCTATAAATAGAAGCAGAAAAGTGCTTCTCAAAAAGCCTGGCTGGGTCTTTCCCCTTCCAGTGTGTGTGGTGGAGCTGCTGGCACCTCCGCAGAGGTCTCTGGTTTTCCCCCAAAAAACCTGGAGAGGAAAATAACCTTCCTGTTAGCTCACACTGGCTCCTCGCTGCACAGAGCCACCTCCCCCCCTCCCAGGCCTGGCCATCCAATTGGAAAGTAATTATACTGCAATTTTTATTTATGACTCTTTTTTTTTTTTATTGCTAAATGGTGACTCATTTTGGCAACATTAAAATACACAGGAAATCATCCCCATTTTACAGTAATCACCATTCAATTCATTGTTAAATATTTATTCGGCAGACTAGCACTGGGCCTCTTTCTAAGGGTCTAACGGAGAGCCTTGGGGCAGCCAGGAGGGGACGCGATGGCCGGAGGCGGCCAGCGGCGTTGCAACAGGGTTGCCCGCAGGGCGGTTAAACGCCCGCCAATAATTTCAGGGTCTACAGCCAGGGGCTAAAGCTTCTGCCAGATGGTCCAGCCACAAGCAAAATACAGGCCTACTTTCCCCCTAAGCCAGCACCGTGGCCCACACTGCTTTTGGGATGGCGCAGGCCTCCTTAGAAAACCCCGTTACGTGGCCAAACCCCAGTGCTGAGTCCCCACGAGCAAGAGGTCCTGCTTCCCTCTGCGTAGGGGGGAGGCCGGCAGTCTGCTGCCTAGCATCAAGCTCTCCCAGCCTCAGACCTCACTGGGAGGAACCGGAAGGCTCACGCTAGGCTTCAGCGGAGGCGAGGAAGACGGTGGGAAGAGGCAGCAGCCTGACATCCATGAGCCTTACAGCAGACGGGGTCCGTGTCCTCACGGCATGGCTTTGTCGCCCCTGGGAGCGAGCTGCCTGAAACCAGATTTCAGGGCGATTCAACCTCTGACGCAGGCGGCTCTTCCATCTTGCTCCCCCTCCGGCCCCCCCAGCTCGCCCTCGCTCAGCACCCAGAAGAGGACGAGGCCTTTGGAAGGAAAGGCTCCGCAGCAGAGGACACAGCCAAGCTGCTCTCTCTGCTGTTGGTTTTTAACATGTTTCTCCTAAAGCCATCAGCTGGTCCTGCTTTGAATCACAGCGGGGCTGTACCCAGGCAGGAACCGGGGAAATCGCTCCTCAAAAATCCCCCCTGCTCTGCAGACTTTACCTACACCGCGCTCGGACCTCTACCCTTCCCCGTTCAGCTGCATCAGCGAGACACTGCAAACGAACCCAGCGGATGCAGGTCCTACGGCTGAACGACTTCAGAGGGCCCGACCCCCCCTTTCCCGTGGGAACCCTTCCCCCACAGGGCAGGGAGGGCACCCAGACCCCCCCCGCCGCCCCGGCCTTCACCGCTTGGCAACCGCTGGTTTTCCCCGTCTCTCCCTGACCGAGCTGTAATCTAACATGTCTGCTGCTGCTTACTTCCTCCTTCCTACCCCAGCGCCGCCGAGGGCATCGGCAAGGCACAGGGAGCGGGTCCTTACGTCAAAGGGTTAGCTGCAGGATCAGCAAGGAGGAGCAGTACCAGGATGCATTATCTTGTGTAGGCCCTACACAGACACAGGCCTCTCCACAACAGCCAGAAAAAACAAGGCGGCACGATACCGAGCGGTGGAGCCAGGCGAAGGAGGCAGAAAACACCTAGGCG